TTTTGTTATATTTGCGTATCATTTCGATTTCGAACCGAAAATTTGCATATGCGCTTTAATTCGGTCGCTCAGAGGAGGAAGTTGTCAAATATATCTTTAATAAAAAGTTTAGCTTGTTAGCTAAATTAATAATTAAAATGCCATTATCAGGAGCTGTATTATGAGAATTGTGTACATTCTTCAATTTGCGATTCAGGAAGTGTGGGAATGAGTTTAAGCTGTCAAAGTTGTGTACACTTCTCTTTCGAGAAACTAATAGTGTTTTATTCGGTGAGTTTTTGGTTGTGGTTTTTGGCTTGGATAAAATTACACCAGTTACGCTAAATTTACGCCAATTGATACAATTTTCCTATTTAAATTCATTTTCAACGATGTAAACAACAATTCGTGTGGAATTGAAAATCGCCTCGTCTGAATAGGGAGGCAATTTTTCACTTTCAACTTTTGTTGCCTGTAAAATCTCCTTGTGTGAACACCCTCTTAGAACTACACTACCCAACAAAGACCAAAAAATAATTCTACAACCGTGGAGAAATTCATAGTTCTCAAGCATGATTCATTAACACAAGGTTAAATAATTATTGACAGCCGCGTTGTGCATAATCCGTTTAATCCGTTTGTGCATATTATTTCAAATTAAATGTAGAAAAATGTATAATTATAGGCTTATAAGCCTGAATATATGTTTGTATCGTACGCTCCACACAGCTTGGACACATATTGTAACTTATAAAAAACTAAAGGCCGTAAAATAAGGCAATTTCCAATAAGAATGTAAATGATTTTTTATCGTAATTTCACCATGCTGCCGCTCTATTCTGTGTATAAGTAGTCCATTTGGTTCGATATTATGACAATGCAGCAAAAGATATTTAATATAATCGTTTTCCATTGATAACCACGATATCTTTTATATTTTATATTTTGGGGACGAAAATTATACAAAATCCAGCAATTTTAAATATTAATATCGTTCTGAAAACACCAAGTTCTTTAAAAATCGCGATAAAACGAAATACTAAAATGGAGTATTTTAGATACTGTTTCCCAACGAATAGTAGTATAAAAAGTAAGATCGGCAGCACTGAAAATAAGCATGCCGATCTCTTCAAAATTACAACAAACACGTCGCTACTGACAACATCTTGTTATAATTCCACCATGAATATGTGTAAAGTTGAGTTCATTTACTCCATTTATTTGCGTGAAATGCATCAAAACATGGTGCGAAACGTGCANTTCGGGTTTCTAACGAAAAGAGGCATATGCAAAATTTCGGTGTTTTGTTATATTTGCGTATCATTTCGATTTCGAACCGAAAATTTGCATATACGCTTTAATTCGGTCGCTCAGAGGAGGAAGTTGTCAAATATATCTTTAATAAAGAGCTTAGCTTGTTAGCTAAATTAATAATTAAAATGCCATTATCAGGAGCTTGATTATGAGAATTTTGTACATTCTTCAATTTGCGATTCAGGAAGTGTGGGAATGAGTTTAAGCTGTCAAAGTTGTGTACACTTCTCTAACGAAAAACTCATAGCGTTTTATTCGGTGAGTTTTTGGTTGTGAGTTTTTCATCGCCTCGTCCGAACGGCCTTTCAGCTTATCGCTTTCAAAAAAGTTGGTCGCCAGCCAACTTTGAGCTCGTTCAACTTTTTTCCTTGCAACCCTGTGTTTGTTTACATTCTGTATACATACATACAACCATNCTACAACCGTGGAGAAATTCATAGTTCTCAAGCATGATTCATTAACACAAGGTTAAATAATTATTGACAGCCGCGTTGTGCATAATCCGTTTAATCCGTTTGTGCATATTATTTCAAATTAAATGTAGAAAAATGTATAATTATAGGCTTATAAGCCTGAATATATGTTTGTATCGTACGCTCCACACAGCTTGGACACATATTGTAACTTATAAAAAACTAAAGGCCGTAAAATAAGGCAATTTCCAATAAGAATGTAAATGATTTTTTATCGTAACTTCACCATGCTGCCGCTCTATTCTGTGTATAAGTAGTCCATTTGGTTCGATATTATGACAATGCAGCAAAAGATATTTAATATAATCGTTTTCCATTGATAACCACGATATCTTTTATATTTTATATTTTGGGGACGAAAATTATACAAAATCCAGCAATTTTAAATATTAATATCGTTCTGAAAACACCAAGTTCTTTAAAAATCGCGATAAAACGAAATACTAAAATGGAGTATTTTAGATACTGTTTCCCAACGAATAGTAGTATAAAAAGTAAGATCGGCAGCACTGAAAATAAGCATGCCGATCTCTTCAAAATTACAACAAACACGTCGCTACTGACAACATCTTGTTATAATTCCACCATGAATATGTGTAAAGTTGAGTTCATTTACTCCATTTATTTGCGTGAAATGCATCAAAACATGGTGCGAAACGTGCAAGTGTTTTTTGCGAATAACTTAGGGCCAAATTCACAGTGCGTAGTTAACTAAGAACCGGCAGTTAACTACAGACTTTCAGTACAAAAATGTGTAGTTAACTGCCGATTCTGAGTTAACTACGCACTGTGAATTTGGCCCTTAATTAATTAATCTTGATTTCCGGTCTCGGATTGTTATTGTTCGCGTTAAAACGCGTCGATTGACACCCCTCTCGAATTTTTTGGTAAATTTTGGCCTGGTTCCCCTGAAGCGCACTTTTACCAAAAATACTTGGTAATTTGAAAAAAGTATCGAGTATGTACTTGGATTTACTTGTATCGAATTATCCCTAGTGGTCCTACAAAGAAAAACGTGGTTTGGCGGCAAAATTGAGGACAAGGTAAGTGGAAACATCTATATTTGTATTTTGTAAAATTCCCTTTGTACATACAAATTTTTACAATATACAATGCAATTTACATTTGTAAATCGAAAAAAAATATGTTAAAATACATACACTGCCGGAACAAAGTATTTGCACAGCAAATTATTCACAATATATGCAACAGTTTTTATTCTAATATTTTTCCGCCAATTTTTTATAAAAATATGGTTCAGTCTACAACAAATATCATAAAAATATAATTCCTAAACTTTGTGCAGATCTCGCGAAAATTCAGCAAACTTTAAACTTTTTAATCAGATTTTTTCGAATTTTTTTGGGTATGCAATTTTGCAGCCTATTAAATTTTAGTAAAAAATATGCAAGTTCGGAGTTAGTCAAAAATCGCATTGATTTTTGAGAATTTTTTTGTTGAAGTTGTTTTGCATTTTTCCCATATAAAGTATTTTCGAAAACAAAATTTTGTATGGAAGAGACTGCGTGAAAAAAAATTCCCAAAAATCAACGATAATTCCTAGCTCCTTAAAGCTTGTACTTCATTATAATAAAATTGATGATAACTTATGACCGAGTTGACTTATCGAAAAATAACTTCAGACCTTTATTGTAGAGCGTTCAATTGTCTACAAAAATACTCCACGACCTTTGCAATACAACATATCATTCGTTCAATATAAAAATGAGAAGGAAAAAAACAAGTTTTACTGTGTTATTCTTATGGGAAATCGAAAAGCGCTTTTTTATTTACTTCTGGTTTTTATATTTAACGAATATAAAAAGCAGATGTAAAAAATGAAACTTTTGATCATGGTTCCGAGGAGGAAAATAATAAAAGAAAAATTTTTGAATCACCCTAATATCTACAGTGACGAGCAAAAGTATTGGCACAGTGAATTTTTCGCCATATATGCTAAGTTTTTTATTCTAATTTATTTTCGATAATTTTTTATAAAAATTAAGTTCATTTTACACCTGAAAACGTAATAACAACATCTCTAAACATTGTGCAAAACTCAGGAAAATTCTTTAAATTTGCACACTAATTTGCAACTTTTTATTCAGATTTTTTTAAAAAATTCAAAGTATGCAGTTTTATAGCCTACTCAAATTTAGTATAACAAAGTGCAAGTTTAAAGTTTCTAGAAAATCGCGTTGATTTTTGGCAATTTTTTTAGTGGAAGGTGTTGCTCATTTTCTCCATACAAAAAATAATTGTCGAATTACTTTGTATGGAAGAACTTGCGTGAAAAATAATTACCAAAAATCAATGCGATTTTCTAGCGACTTCAAACTTACACTTTGTTATACTATATTTAAATGGGCTATAAAACTGCATAATTAGTGTGAAAATTTAATGAATTTTCCTGAGTTTTGCACAAAGTTTAGAGATTTTATTATTATGTTTTCTGGTGTAGAATGAACAATATTTTTATAAAAAGTTATCGCAAATAAATTAGAATAAAGAACTTTGCATATATTGCGAAAAATTCACTGTGCCAATACTTCTGTTCGGCACTGTATGTAATTATATTTCAATTTGAAAATGCAATCATGTTATTTATTTATTAATTTAGAATTCGCGTCCAATGCACTAATATACCTACAATAGTCTAATGTTTATTAGTAGTGGATGCGGCGGTCTAACTATCAACACTGTTAACAGCTGGAGTCTTAAGATGATAACGTGTAGGTATAACGTTGCATCCAATGATTTAGCCACGGAGTTTGCCAACCGCTTAATCATCAAATGGGACATTTCTTAACAATGGTGAAAACGTAAGTATGTTTGCAACCACGAAACACCTTACAAATAAAGGTGATACGAGATTTTCCTTGATACAAAAATTTACATATTTAGCAGTGTCATCAGTGGCGCCAGTGTCATGAATGCCATCAGTATCGGCTCTGCCAGTGCCGCCAGAGTCGGAAGAATCCTGCTCCGCCAGTGTCACCAGTGCCGCCACTATAACCAATGACGCCAGTGTCATCAGTGCCGCCACTCACGCAAGTAGTAACTAGCGCCGCCAGTGTCGGAAGTATTAGGGTCTCCCAGTGTCACCAGTGCCGCCAGGGTCGGAAGAATCCTGCTCTGCCAGTGACCAGTGCCGCCACTGTAACCAATGACGCCAGTGTCATCAGTGCCGCCACTCACGCCAGTAGTAACTAGCGCCGCCAGTGTCGGAAGTATTCGGGTCTCCCAGTGTCACCAGTGCCGCCAGGGTCGGAAGAATCCTGCTCTGCCAGTGACCAGTGCCGCCACTGTAACCAATGTCATCAGTGTCGCCAACGATGCCAGTGCCATCATTGCCGCCAGTGTCATGAGTGCCGCCAGTATTCGGCTCTGCCAGTGTCACCAGTGCCGCCACTGACGCCAGTAGTAACCAATGCCATCAGTGCCGCCACTGTCGGAAGTATTCGGCTCTGCCAGTGACGCCCGTGTCACCACTGATACGACGCCACTGTCATCAGTATCACCAATGCCGCCAGTGTCATCTCTGTTCGAAGTCTTCGGCTCTGCCAAAATCACCAGTGTCATCAGTGCCGTCAGTGTCATCAGCCCAGTGTCGCCTTTACACAACCATCACGACAGGTTACAGGAAAGAAAGGAGTTGTGCACTTCAAATGAAAGTAAGCGCTGTTATGGACAATTGGACTAATTTTTGTGAAAAACAATGACTGAACGGGATATTTTTAATCAAGTTTTGTTGGAGTAAGTCTTAACATTAACATCTTTATCAGGCAGGTTCTTCAATTCACTTCCGAGTGAATTTCAACCCCGTTCAATTTGAATTAAAAGCGAATTACAAAACCTGCCTGTATAAATAATATTACAGTTTAACACCAAATTTCCTTAATTTTCCCATACTGAAATAATGGTCGTGTTTTTTACACACATACGTATATGCGTTTAAAATTTTTATGGAGCTCTAAGCGACAAACTTTATGTGCGCTTATGAATAGTTCTCGATAAAATCAAAATCACTTGTTTTGAAATGGAAATTTTCGATGATTGTTTTTTTACACCTTAAGCGTAGATGTATATGTTGGTAAAAAAAAACACAGCTAATATATCGCACACCGTCTTCAAAAGAGTTACAACTCAAAATAATACGTTCGTCAGAAAATGCGAAAAGCTATTTCGTAGCACATGCTAATCATATGGGCAAGGGCGACTTTACCTTAAGTTTTTTTTTATTAAATTATAACAAAAATTTGCTCCAGCTATTGTTGAAAGGTAAATAAAAGCTTTGGGTACATTTTTAGCGCACAATTTAAGAAATGCCAAATTTTGAGTTGTGACTCTTTTGAAGACGGTGTGCGATATATTAATTATTTCACTATGAATTTTCGCAATTATAAATACTGAGGCGTATTCTGGTTTTCGTCCGAATCGAAAATTTTAAATTTTTGCACAGAAAATGATAGGAAAATTGCATGATTTGCGATTCGTACGAAAACAAGAATGCGCCTCACTATGTAGAAATAGGAAAACATGTAAAGTAATTTAAATAATTTCTGCGGCTACCTTTGCCACTAGAAGTTATGTGTATGTTATTATTCTGTATTAAAGTTTTTACTTTTATGATGTATATCATACTCCTACCCCGTCGGAAACCGCAACAGCGAATATGAGAATATTTACTTTTCCTTTTTAAGGAATCCGGGTGATAAGTTGGAGTTCAAAAGTTCGAACATACATTGATACATTGCAACTGATACGCAACAAAACGATTCCGAAAAGCCCAAAAAGTGTCGAAGAAATAAATGAGGCTTTTCGCAATGAAGAAGTTATGAACGCTGTAGGGCGATCAAAGCATCTTGACCATGATATTTTTTTCGATACTTGTATAGAAACAGCAACACATTCATTCCGCGTATTTTCGTCAAAATATTCCGTTTCTTTAATAAAGAGCCATATTGAGCCAAATCGCAAGCATGATATGGTTAATGCTACTTTCAAAGTGGTACCAGTTGATCCATTTAATCAATTATTGATTATTTATGTGTGTTACATCAAATCCGTAAGTTGGTTTTTACCTATTTTTGTTTCAAGTTAAACAATTCGTCGCCTGGGTAAAAGATTGTCGTAAGCGTCATTTTGACGATTTTTAGTTAAAGATGCAGTTTTATTTTTTTAAATAAGATCTTTCGATTGGTGTTATCAGTTTTTGGACATCTAATTTAGTTTCCGAGATATTGAGTAAAATTTTGTCTTATTTGCAACTTCGCAAGAGATTCGGTCAACATTTTGTTGTATGTCACGAAAAATTTCACATACGACAAAATTTTCATACAGTTTGATGAAATTGATTACTTGTTAAAATATTGTCTTATGTGACAAATTGTATGGTACATACGACAAAATCATACCAATCCTATACAATGGATAGTCGTATGTGCTACGTTCTCTCTACGTGCTCTTATTGACAAATTGTTTAAAATATTTATTTTTTTTTTATTTTTATTCATTTATTAAATTCCAGGTGAATTAGAATCAATTTTTGCTTACGAGCAATAAATAATTTCAACGATTTCAGCCTTTTGCTTACTTGCTGTGTGTGTGATTTGTCGTATGTCATTCAGCTGGCTAGCGTTTAACGTGAAAATGTAACATACGACAAAATGATTTTATAAAAAAGATGCTGTAAAAGCTATATGAGTTACTGAAAATTTAAAAATATGTGGTTTTATACTTTAAATAGTATGTAAAATCAAGCATTAAATTTTGGTAAAAAACGATTGTACAGCTTTTGAGAAATTGTGACTGAATCTTTAACATCGATTTCCCAAAACCTGCCGAAAGTAACATACGACAATCTTTTACCCAGGCGACGAATTATATTTTTAATTTTGTAGGTATTTCCATTTGTTTTTATATTGATGTCCAGAAAAACTGAAGAGGCATATATTGATGTTTTCCGCTACATTAATGATAACGTAATTGATTTGGAATGTGCAAAGTTTTTGACAGATTACGAAATGCCATTGCAAAATTGTGTCCCAAAGCCACTCAAATCGGTTGCTGGTTTCATTTCTGTCAGGCAGTCCGACGACATGCCTCAAAAATTTCAGGCTTCTTAATATATTTGCGGTCCGAAAGGGAAGCTCCTACTATATTTCGACAATTGCTATGTTTGCCATTGCTGCCAGCCGATCATATTTTGGCAACCTTTAAGTTATTACCTTTAAATAGACCTAAATTTTTAAATTTAGTTGTTTATTTCAAACGCCAGTGTCTAAGAGTACTAAGCTTCGGTCTGAAGACTCGTAATATGTTCGGAGCAAAACCAAAGTTTTTATTTTGTGATTTCCATTTTAAATAGGAGGGCCCTGAGAAAATTACGATATTTGGTCAAGATTTCCGCACCATAGCTCAAATTGAAGCTTATAATCACCAGCTTGGTGAGATGATAGCTAAAAACAGTGGGTTCTTTAGGTTTCTTGTTGCGTTAGGGCAACAGGAATACATTAAGTCGAATGAGATGGAGCTTTACATCAAAAGCGGTGGTTCAACTGTATATAAACAAAAACAAAAACAAAAGTATTTAAAAAAAATTCATTTTATTCAGAACCGGAACAAACGAATAGCTGAAGCTTCTGAACTATTATCAACTGGCACGTTGACACCAATTGACTTTATAAACAGAATTTTGTATGACGATGAGTATCTCTCCGAAGGCCTAACAAAATTTGTTGATGGCGCGGTTACAGGGGATAACGAATCGGAGTTAATAAGGGAAGCAGAATCTGAACTGTCTCAACTCCTAGATGATGATACCGCTTCTAATGGTAATAACGACACAGCCGAAGACTTCCGACACTGGGAGAGCTGAAACCGTCCATTACTGGGTCTTTATGTAAAGGCGTATCCACTAGTTTAATAAATTGATTTGGCTGAACTTCATAAATTCGCTTCTAACACTCTCTGCGCTTGTTTGTCAAAAATGTACTGGTGGTGACGAGCAAATTTGAATACCGTTTCAACGTACGATGTTTTAAATCAGGTATATATATAATACTGCGCGGAAGTATAGAGAATACCTATTCAGTGTCTTTGAGCCTCTTTCCCGATTTGGATCACTACGAATTGGTGAAGTAAGTAATACGTTTCGGTTTGATTTTGATGTGCGGTGCTGTAAATTTTTGTGTGTAAAAATTTACGTATTTTATATAAAAAGTGAAATGGCTGAACAAGAAAACAGTAAATTGCAAAATGACATTGCAACTGATTTGTCGGAAATCCCGTTCCACAAGTTGAGGCAAGATCAGTTCACTGAAGTTGAAATTAGTCCATGGTTGGATATCGATTGAATTCAAAAATAATATTTTGCGTAACGGATAACCAAATGTACAGCTTTAACACAAAATCCGTGTTGGGCATATCATATTTGTGCTCATTTTTGACAAACAAACGCAGAGAGTGTAAGAGCCGAATTTATGAAGTTCAACCAAATCAATTTATTAAACTAGTGGGTACGCCCATGCACAACCATCAGGACAGGTTACAAGAAAAAAAGGGAGTTGTGCGTCCAAAATGAAATAAAGCAGCGTTGCAGACAATTGGACTCTTTTTTTTGTCAACAACACGGTTGACTGTACGCGATATTTTTTATCAAGTTTTATTGGAGTAAGCCTCAAAATTAAGATTTTTATAAATATTATACAATAAAATAGAGTTTAATATAAAATTTCCACAATTTTCCGTACTCATTATATTTGAAATAGGACAAGTTTTTTTGCAATCAAGTAGCCATTATCAGGCAGGTCCTGTGATTCACTTCCGAGTGAATTTGAATCGAATTCGCGTTGATTTCAAATTGGCAGGGGTTGAATTTCACTCGGAAGTGAATTGCAGAACCTGCCTGAATATAAAGAAATTGAAAAACTTAAGTAATTTAAATAATTCCACAAGTTGAGGCAAGATCAGTTCACTAAAGTTGAAATCGAATCCATGGTTGGATATCGATCGAATTAAAAAAAAAAATGTTTTGCGTAACAATTAACCAATGTATACAATGTACGTTCGAATTTTTTTTAACTCCACCTTAACTTCCGAATTCTTAATAAAATAAAAGTAAATCCCTTAATGCAGAATAATGACACCACAACACAAATTTTTAAAAATGGCTACTGGTGAGAGTAACGAAATACAAAACTTAATTATTTACAAGTACATAAACTTTATAATACCTATAAAAAAACTTTAAACAGACCTGACGAAAACAGCAAAAAAGGTATTAAGTGTAAAGCCGCCTTTACACGGGTACATTTTTCTCGTTCAACCAAAATCCAACTAAGTAAATGGAAATTCAGAAGTAAAATGTAAATGCTTTGGATAGTAGATTTTTCAGTAGATTTTCCAGTCGACAGAAATCGGCCTGTGTAAAGGCAGCTTAAAATTTGCGTTTGAGACATATTGAAAACGACGGGCTACATGCTAAATCTGTCAACTTATTTTAAGATATAATTTTATGTAAAATCAACATATAAACTTATGCACAATGCCCAAGGTTTCAAAAACGTATATTTCAAATGTAACTCATTTACAAAAAAATTGTAAAGTCAACAAAAGTTAAGGTTAAATTAGTGGTGCCATACCATAACCATAAACAGCTGAGTTTTCGTAGTTGTTGTTTGTGTAACAGCAAAAAGATTCCCTTAAGAGTTTTTGGGGGGTGTTGCTGGAGTGATAGTCCTTGGTCAGATATAAATGTGGGTCGTTCCGGTTACGTATACCCCGACTGTCGTGGGAACGCGGTCAACATTGTCGGTGCCGTAGGATCTTGCGCAGAACTTCTTTCACTATTAGTAAATTAACACTAAATTTTTAAAACTTAAATGCAGATCATAATAAAATACGTACATCGAATTAAAGGTAATAAGTTGTACTTTCTTAATAATATAAATCTCTTTTGCAATATTTATTAAATTTTCTTAAAGAAGGTTATTTTATGAAAAATACGAAATTTCTTTTCTTCGTTTAGTATTTTTGGTTTAAAAATAAAATAAAGCATATAAATTATGCACATAAACAGAAAGATAAATTAATTGTCTTTATTTTGGCACCATTAGTTGAATCGGTTATGTAGTTCATACGATACTAACATTTCAAAATATCAAAAAATTCTAATTTAACCTTTTATATCCTTTTTATATTTTTGCACCAAATAATTTTGGTTCATTTGAAATCAGCGTGAGAAGTTCTGTCGAGCCACATTTTTGGTATTTGCATAGCTAAATGGTTCATATTCGAAATTCAATTGGTCTCTATGGCTATTATGGCGTTATGGTGTGACACCACTAATTGAATACAGTGTTGGTCATAAGGTTGGTTGGAACAGCTGTTTTATATGGTCACCACTGATTTAAGCTTTATCCCGCACTCAAAAATTGTAATTCATGTTAAAACAATAATATTGCGTTCAAGTTGGTTCCTCGTCAATTTTAACGTAGTATCAAGCTCGAAAACCCCTATTCCGAATGTAACTCATCTACGAATAATTTTAAAGCCAATAAAAGTTATCCCGTATATTGTAATTTATGTTAAAACAAATCTTAATAAACAGTTTTATGCAATACCGAGCAAAGGTGGTTAAAAATTATTTAAAAATTTGATAAATGAGAAAAAAATTCTTTTTCTAAATAATAATGTATAATCGGTGCATTTACGGAATGCATCGTAATCCGATTTTGGTAAAACGTACGAAAATGCGATCAATGAATACAGAATCGTTATGAACGTACATAGCTACGCTGTGCACTCTAGGCGCTTGCACGTTATATGTCCTTCAGGGCTATCACGGAATCCATCGTAGAAAATCTCCGAATTCGAATGCCCCCTACGAATACGAAAAAATTGCTATCACTGAATCCGAGTGAACTCGAAAATATCGTTGCCAGCTTCGAATGCTGATTCGAAGTCAGCTAGTGCAAAGAAAACAAGAGATATTTATGTATGCCGTTTTGCTCACGCTGCCCCAGCAGTCGCAATGGCCGAGTGAGCAAAGCACTAGACTGCAAATTCAGAGATCCGAGTTCGAGTCCGAGTCGTCGGGCAGCGGAGGTTTTTTTTTTATTTTTTTTATTTAATTTTTGTTTATTTTTTTTAATACATTTATTTTTTTAGTTTACATTTTATTACTTTAATGAGAAAAACATGTTTGTTTAATAAATTTTCATGATATTAGCAGATGAATGTATGTATGGCATTGGCATTTGACGTATATGTTTATAAAAATATGTATATGGAAAATAGAAAAAAGATTTTTTCTTAACAGCGGTCGTCCCTCGGCAGGCAATGGCAAACCTCCGAGTGTATTTCTGCCATGAAAAACAGCTTCTCATAAAAATACAATCGCCGTTCGGAGTCGGCGTAAAACTGTAGGTCCCTCCGCTTTGTGTCAAAACATCAAGGGGCACGCCCCAAATCGGAGAAGCTCGGCCAAACACTAACATATGTGTAAGCGCCAATCTATAGCCGTCATCGATTCGCCACTTCGCTGCTTGCTATGTTTGAGTTCCGGTCGCTTAACGAAAAATTTTGCATGTAAATTTATTTAAAGCAACAATAAAGTTAGCTAGCTAGAGTAGACGATAGCGAGTTTGTTTGTACGTCATTAATTTCGTTCGTTTCGCCACTCGCTAACTGTTGGCGAATCGATGACGGCTTATTATTATTATTATATGGAATTATATCAAACTATAACAAATTTAGAGTATTATAAATATTTAATATTCCCCCCTATTATGAATTTTCATACGATAGACGATAAACGCTTGCAAGCGTATTATATGAAATCAGTTCTCGTATTATCGTTTTCATACGCCCGACAGATGTATTGTTGTGAATGGCTGTGGTTTTTGTTCACTTTTTATTGTGAAACAGCACAAATCAGCTACGCTAACTATCGGATTTCATACGACAACATAGATTCATAGAGAATAACAGAATGCAAGCGTCTATCGTGCATCGTACGAATTCATAATAGGGGGGATTAACAATAATGCAGCTCTTTTCCATTATTTTTAAGATTCAGTAATTTTAATTTTTGTTCCGACAGCATAAACTCATCGTAGAGTATCTGTACGAATCTTCATTACGAACGGATTCAATGAAGGCTCTGTACGAAATTCGAATTTACTTTCGTAGCCATTCGGATTCTGTGATAGCGATTTC